TGAAACCGGCAGTGCATGGTGGAGATTGACGAGAATGGGAAGCAGGTTCTGTGGCTCTGCCGTGTCCAGCAAGGCAACGCTGAACTCGCTGTGGTCAACTGTGCGCGCACGACGGACCAGCTGTAGCCTCTTTGCCGGCCTTGGGTGCTCTTCCTGTTGGAGGGACGAAAATGCAGATGGTGAAATGTTGATGGTTTTCTAATTTTGGACAGATTTAGGTGAAAACATGGGTCATTTTTCATAAATCTTACGTGTATACATGCATTTACAGAGACACACATAAATGCACACATAAGGACACACTCACTCAAAAGTGTGACATGGGGTGGGTAGGCAGAATGTATCTCTAGATGAAAAATTTATTTTTATTAATAATTCTTATGAAAAATATATATAAGGAGGAGTAATCAATAGAATAGTACATAAATTATTGACTATCAACAATAATGGTTTAAAATGTTTTATTCTATCAGTATTACCAAATGTTGGTCAGATCCAACTTGCATTTTAAAGGCAATTACAACAAATGGCATCTTAACCCATTCGCGCCGGGTAAAAATGAACAAAAAATGGGGGAAATGCTGTGCTCATTTTTTAAAAATTTTTAATGAAATTTCTCTACACTAGATGGCTCTGCTTTACCAGATTTCATTTGGCGGGAAAATGTATTTTTACTAGTGCTATGAATATTGATGTTTATTTTTATTATAAACATCATAATTACTATAATGTTATAAACATTAGTAACGGCAAAATAAGATAACGCAAAATAATTTCGTAAATTAAAGAAAAGGGTAAACAGACCGAGACAAGCAGTACAAGTGCAAGTGGAGCCATCTATGTTTGTAAACAATCAAACAAGTAAACTGACAGTGGGCCCCGGCGCGAATGGGTTAACATGCCATGCAAGGTTGGCAACAGATGCCTGCTCTCTGCTCTGCATGAAGTTTCAAGGCTCAGGCAATGCTAGGTACCAAGCTTCACCCTTCCAAAGTCACCTGATCCCTTATTTTCTAACATTTTTATTGAAAAATGCAAATCAACTTGTACAGAATCAAAGGCAATGGAGACAAAACACTGTTCCTGAACCTTCTGCTTTTCTCTAATACTGGCAACGTTAAATCCAATCCTGGCACAGCAGGCACCATGCTCTGATAATTTTCCAAACCTATAAGCTTATCTTCTGACATCTTTATAAGACTAACAACTTCTTAAAATCTATTATACTTCCCTAGTCATTTCCAAATCAAATAAATGTGAAAGATCAAGATTTTTGAAGACAGCAAATGTTTATTAGTAGAGTCCAATGCAATTCTTGATAACCATTACCCCCAGTATCACCTCTAATTTAATTTTGTTCATTAACCCCAAGGATCTGCATGGCATGACCATCACATCACGAAAAAATCTAATTAATCTCTTCATTAGCTACTACGATCTGGATGCCGCGATGAAAAATTTTGGCTTGAGATAACGTGAACATGACGGGAAAATCTGGCTGATTACCAGGGTGACGGGTATTTATCGTCATGAGAATTTCAGCTGATGGCTGGGGTGGCGGTAATGACTCGCCATAAGTCCATAAACCTCTTGGCGGGTGATTAGACTGAGTGGGCATTTGCGTTATTTCCCTCCGTAAAAGACTGTGGATACCGTCTGTGAGCCATGACTGGAAGAGCGCTGGCTCAGGGTCCTATTTCTGCCCGCCGTGACTGGTGGCGCAGGTTGCATTACAGATAATTGAATGTTATGGAAAGATAAGAAAAATCACACACATAACAAAGTGCTATTTATTGTTATTATTACTGCACTCAGTCATGGACTACCTAGAGAGATAATATGGCATATGTCGAAGGTAAACTGTCTTATACCATCTGAATAGAACAAATCAAATGATAAATACAGACACTGGAATATAGCAAAAAAAAAAAAAAAAAAAAAAAAGATATATTTATACATACATATATTTATGCAGAAAATGAGAAAATAACATTCTAAAGGAGAGGCATGGAATTTTATCAGCGTACAAGTGTTCATGCACGCCCAGCCTACAAGCCACACACCCATCAGAGTGAACACTCAAGTAAGCCTAACGGGCCATGTGCAGGCACCTGGATCCAAGGAATTAAATATCAACTAATTTCCCTCTAAGCCAACCTAAACTCAACTTGCTAGCACATACATGGTAGACAATGTATAATGCATTAGTGTTTCCTTAAGATTTACACTACACATCCAAGGCCACATGCAAATTACTCCCACGGATTAAAGAAAGGATTAATCACTTCCGTAGACGAGGGACTAAAAACCCCTATTGAGAAACGGCCGTGACTACATAAAAGGACCTTTGCCCTCCATGGCGTAAATTTAACTTTCAAATCATCTAAAATTAAAAAAAAGAAGTTAATCTATTAGATACAGTATTAGTTCACAAAACCTAATAATAGTTAGTAATAATAATAGCAGTAATAGCAAAGCAGTAGTAATTATCAGTAATAATTAAGTGGTAGTAAGAGTCACTATGAGTTAACAGGAAGTAAAAATATTAAGAATAATTAGTAAGATTAACACTTGATCAAAAACTATAATTAACAGAAGATATTAAGGGATTTATTAAGCCAATATGGACACTTTCTTAACAGCCTGTGAATATCTCATGAGTTTCAAACGGCTTAAAACTAAACCAAAAAGAATGATCAAATAACCGGTTAGGTCTGGACAGCTGATGAATAATAATTAATCTAATTAAAATTGAGGTTTAAAAATGGATGACATCACTCTACGCGTAAATATTTCTCATCTTAATCTTGATTAAGTAATAGTCAGTAATAATTAAGTGGTAGTAAGAGTCAATATGAGTTAACAGTAAGTAAAAACATTAAGAATAGTTAGTAAGATTAACACATGAGCAAACACTATAATTAACAAAAGATATTAAGGGATAAAAAGAATAATTGACCGGCATTTCCACTAATTGACCGGCATTTTCTCCTATTTCATTTAGAGCTAAAATATGACTATCATTACTTCCCCTGGGGCTTATCTGCCTCGATGGCCGATGTGATAACTCCTAAATACCGAAATATAATAGAGAAGTATGTAACTTCACGTAAAATCGAGGAAATTTTGGGATAAAAAAAAAATTGGGGGGAAAAAAAATAATTTCTAATTAAGTTCATTCATATGGTTGGTTTGTTTTGGCCGATTCTAGCTTGCAGTTTGGTTCGTAAAGGGTCTATTTAGGGTGCAAAATGGAGATCGGGTTTACCACTACGGTCTGGCAGTATTCGGCGAGCGCTCTCTTCTTTAATAAGGCCGCCATAGCTCTCCGAAGGGAAATTTCTCGCTCTAAATTTTCTCCATTGCGACCAGGCCACTTTTACAACTTCGATAAGTAACTTTACTATGTTGAAAGAGGGATTCGGATTCCATTCAGGTACGATCACGTAAAGCCGGTAACACGATGCGATCTCCTAACGCTCGCTTATGCGCTTTTCAATTGTTTTTTTAGCTTTATTTCCTCCCTAGTGAAAGATAAGAAGTAATTTTCCAACAGTATATAAAGACATCCATTATTAAAAACGTATAAATCCTATTTTATCACTTTAGAGAGAGAAACAAATGAAAATAAGGCATAGATAGAGTGAGCGAAGAGTCCCGCCGTGCGCAAGCCGAGCGTTACTTGTCTCGCCGATCGCCCTCGTGGTTCCTTCCTCTATAGTTGTGTGTTGATATGGCGTGCACGAGGCAGTAGGACCTAAGCGGCAAAAATGGAGTAAATTACCGGAAATTCACCATTCAACACACAACTATTAAGCAAGGTACATTCTCTCGTCCGCGCCGCACGTCTCGAGGTCAGGCACAAGGGCTAATAACACGTACTTCGCGCTGAAAAATAATCGGTTTGTTGGTTGGTTGGTTGGTGGGACACGGGGGGAGGGGTTGGTTGGTGGACCCCGGGGGGAGGGGAGGGGGAGGGGGGGGGCTTTTGACCTGAACGAAAGCCAGAGAGAAAAAAACTTTTTCCCTCAGGCTTTCGTCCCTTCGGAAAAAATCTTCCCCCCCTCGCCTCTCTCTCGCGGGATCCCTTGTGGTATTAATAGACCCGTGGGGGACGAGGACGCGGCGACCTGGGAAATGGGGGTCAGGTCAGCGAGAAACGTTTCTGCCGCCGGTGAGGAAGGAGGAGGAGGAGGAGATCGTGTGACCTTGAACTTGAACGATGCGCTAGGATTTTCTCCCTTTTCCCCTCCCCCCCCCTCCGCCTTTTTAAGGGTTGTTATTGCCTCTGCAAAGGAAGGGAAGCGTAGGCCGAGAACCAAGAGGATTTGTGTGGATGAGGCGCGATCCTCTCAGGGAAAGGGAGAGAGAAAGGAGGAGGAGGAGAGAGGAACTTCGCTTTCTGCTTTCTCCATGTGGGGCCCTCGAGGGTGGTGTGTGTGTGTGTGTGCACGCGGGGCTCGTGGTGTGATTCTGGCCGATTTGACGCCGATTCCGAGCTTAAGCGGAGGATTAGCCGATGGTTAATGAGCCCATGGTGGACGAGGAGTGTGGGTTCAGTGTGTAAAAGAGGTGAATATGACCGATTTCACGCCCATTATATCCCCTTGGCTTCTGGGGGACACCGATCCTCTCGCCTCGGGTGCTCTGAGCTCCCGGAGAAGTGACTCCTTTTTTAAAAATCATGTGTGTCCCTCTCCCTCTCCCTCTCCCTCTCCCTCTCCCTCTCCCTCTCCCTCTCCCTCTCCCTCTCCCTCTCCCTCTCCCTCTCCCTCTCCCTCTCCCTCTCCCTCTCCTCTCTCCTCTCTCCTCTCCTCTCTCCTCTCCTCTCTCCTCTCCCTCTCCTCTCTCCTCTCTCCTCTCTCTCTCCCTCTCTCTCTGTGCTTCTGGAAGCATTGGGAGATGACAGGTTTATGACCTGCTTGTATTTCACCTTTCATTCATTCATTCATAGGGAGGGGATTAGCAGGTCAGGTAGTGGTAATCTCCCCCCACCCCCTAGTGACCATATGAATGAGTGAGGTGCATTTGTGTGCTTAAGGGGAGGGGAAAAAGGCAAACAAATAATGTTATTAGCCCTTGTTTAATGGCTTTATTTAAGATTTTACAGCTATTAGTGTTGGTGGTATTGTTATCAGCTTCCTTTTTTTTCTCTCTCTTTTTTCATCTGCAGTTGGACTCAGGGTGGCTTGTGATATCACTCGTAGGGTTTTTATCAATGGGTGTTGACTGCTTGAGAATTGTTTATGAATATTTGACTGGAATTACGTTACGTGTGTTATGCAATATACCGATCGAGTTTTGTGAGTACCAGAAGGTGTATTTTTAATCCTGGGGTAGTATGCAAGTAGATTTTGATTTATGGGGTACACATAAACATGGATTATTTTATTATTTGCAGTAGAAATCAATACAGCTATGAACTGTGTGTCCCTCATTCTGTATTGAGTATAGCCAAACACCCACACAGATCCGAGTGATCGTGAAGTGAAATGGAGTATTTCAAGTCTATAGATCTACATTGAACAAAGATTGAGAGGTGACTGTGTAAAGTAGAGAAAAGAAAGAACGTTAATAGTTATTGTGAGGAAAGTAAAATGATAATCACTGTATTATACATGAATATATGTAATCAAGTGAAGAGTTGATACAATCAGATATTTAAAAGGCGCCATGTGTAGTGATCCTCAAAGAACATATTTGTATATTCTGGCAAAGAAAAGATTTATCACAAATTAAGGATCTTGTAAGGCCAGTATCTTCCCAGAACGTTGTGGAGATTTGTTTTCCCATTTTATAGGCTTTAATATTGCTTGATATGGTCCTCTTCTGGATAGCTGACCTAATAAAGAAGTGTAGATTTTCTTTATACAATGAAAATGCTATTTTTTATTAAATTGTAATGGATATAGGTATGGTTTATAGCACACACGGAAGTAATGACCAATATTTGATATTTTCTTTAGATATTTTAGTCTTTTTCATGTATAAGATGCATTTGTACTTTGCACAAATCATGTTAAAACAATGCAAAAATGTTTTTAAAGAGTTTTAACCTTATGCCCAACCTTAATATGAAATCCATTTTGTAATTGCATATTTTTTATGAGATTATTAAGTTCTTTAAGATTGAAATTAGGGGAAGCAGTTTTGATTTTAATTTTTTTCAAAATAAGATTGAAACATTTAAACTCTCGTGAGCCTATTTATAACTCAATATGCATTGCTTAGATTGATAGTAGTATGGATATAGGAGTAGATACAGTTTGCTGGGAAAATGATTATAAGTATTCAACAGTTACTCATGCAGTCTGTCTCTCTCTCTCTCTCACACTCCCTCTTACTCAGTCACGCGCATGTACACACACACAAATGTGATCTGGCTCTGGATATCTGTTGTGTGTATTTTTTTCAATAGTTCACACATCATCATCAGAACGAGTAACAGTATCCTGTTACAATGCTACAAACAAGTGAATTCAGTTTAGTTGTTATGGAAATGGTTTTAAACGTTAAATGTGAGAATTTTTCAGGTTTCAGGATTAGGCCCCTTCTTTGTTTATTTGTATATTTTATTTTTTTGTGATTCTTGCTTATGTTCTAATGCTGTTAGGAGTAGCCTACCTGTATTTGGGTTAAAAAAGAAAAGAATGAAAGCCATTTGTACCCAAGTTTAGTATTATGGACTAATACTCATGAAAAGAGGATAAATGAGTGTGAGTGAGTGTGTGTGTGTGTGAGTGAGTGTGTGTGTGAGTGAGTGTGTGTGTGTGAGTGAGTGTGTGTGTGTGAGTGAGTGTGTGTGTGTGAGTGAGTGAGTGTGTGTGTGTGAGTGAGTGTGTGTGTGTGAGTGAGTGTGTGTGTGTGAGTGAGTGTGTGTGAGTGAGTGAGTGTGTGTGAGTGAGTGAGTGTGTGTGTGTGAGTGAGTGTGTGTGAGTGAGTGTGTGTGTGTGAGTGAGTGTGTGTGAGTGAGTGTGTGTGTGTGTGTGTGTGTGTGAGTGAGTGAGTGTGTGAGTGAGTGAGTGTGTGAGTGAGTGAGTGAGTGAGTGAGTGTGTGTGTGTGTGTGAGTGTGAGTGTGAGTGTGAGTGTGAGTGTGAGTGTGAGTGTGTGTGTGAGTGTGAGTGTGAGTGTGAGTGTGAGTGTGAGTGTGAGTGTGAGTGTGTGTGTGTGTGTGTGTGTGTGTGTGTGTGTGTGTGTGTGTGTGAGTGAGAGAGAGAGAGTGTGTGAGAGAGAGAGAGTGTGTGAGTGTGTGAGAGTGAGTGAGTGTGTGTGTGTGTGTGTTTGTTTGTTTGTTTGTTTGTTTCTGGCCTGTTTAGGGGGAACAGAGGGGTAGGTGAAATATTTTGTAACAAGCCGGAGACCTTACATAATTCAACTAGGGGATTTTGGAATGGAATTCTATATGCTTACTACTATTTGTATATAAGTTGGATATACTACTTTTCTGTTAGTAACACAGGTTTTGGTTGGAAGAGCTAGAGAACTTGAAGAAATGATACGTTCAGCTCCTATTTTTACATAATTTGTGTAGGAAGCCTTACCCATGCATACTCCCCTGGATTATGGGCTACTGAGATTATTGATGCTCAGGCTGTACAGTATTCTTCACCATTTTTTACTTTTTGTTTTTGTAATAGTAATGATGTAATTATTTTGATAAAATAAATATTTTGTGGAGAGTATGTGATCCTTATTATATTGAGTGTATTTTATACATATACTTTTTTTTTTTACTTTTTTCTTTCCTTTGTAGAGTGCCTACTTTATAATTTCATCATTTCGTCTTTTCTTCTCAGGTTTCGTCCACTTGAAAATAAGCCAAGACTTAGAATTTGGTCAGTTGTGAATTGATTGTTTTGTGTAATTAAAAAAAAAGACTGAAATGTGATGAGTTTGATGGTGTTTCATTATCTGTATTAGTTGCGTATAATATAATCTATCTTAACAGTTAATAATGTTTTAGTATGGGACAGATAAAGAATTGCTTTAGTAAATTCAAGATGCAGGTATTTATTAAGTTGTTAGACTGCAGAAAATCACATATTTTGAAGTGCTTGAAATCTCCTCACTTGTGGAATTAGTGTAATTTTCTGTTAGATCTCCATATTGCAAATCACATTTTACAGATATGAAGCACGTGTAACATAACTGACTACTCTGATTAACATAATTACAATTCAGTAGATGTTGAGCATGTAGAAACCATAACTGACTATACCATAACCATTTCCAACAGAAACAATATCATGACTTGAAGTTTTGTTAGACAGAAGCTGAGAAGGTAGACTTGGCCCACATAACCTATGTATATAGCAGGGAGCATATCCATGGGGTTGATCATTTTATTACAGCATTTTTTTTTTTCTTTCTTTCTTTCTTTCTCTT